CGCGCATCTCTTCTCATCTCCTCATACGGGGAATCCCAGGTGTACGTCGTGAGGACTAAGTAGGCCCTGTCGGTGGAAGGTGGGCATGCGGAAAGAGAGGGGGAGAGAAAGGAGCGACCGCCTGGAGATATCAAAGTGTATAAGAGCTTTGGTAGACCGGGCGGTCTGCGAGGAAATCCACAAATCAGCGACTCTTTGCTTAGTTCTAGCCCCACCTTCCGTTCGCCATGCATAGACTGTTTTTTTGGGCAAACTGAACCACGCTGAACTGGCATTTAGAGCAAATGTGACCTTACCTGCTCTGTTTTTTTGTCATTTTGCTTCTATTCGCTTGCTAGTTCTTTTCTGGCTTCTGACTCGGATTTTTTTTTTCAGTAGGCCTCCTTAGTCGTGTTGAGTCATACTGCTGTTTTTAAGTCACCACTGTTACCTCGCCGTGGTAGTTCATAATCGCATTTGACTGCGGAGGCTGGATCCCGGCAGCAATTACCTCACTCACCCTCTCAGTCCCCTGTACCAACGGCCCGTCCGAGTCGAAATAGATGGAAATAGGTTTGGGCGCAGTGAGCCGTACGGTTTGGGTCCCCGTCCGCCACACACGAGAGTTCAACCGTCGTTGCCGACCATGTCCACCGTCTGCTTCACAGCAAGTGATTGTAGACTTGCACAGCATCCACCACACTCTCCTTCCCCACCCTCTGCCTGGGCCCGGTGTCAAGACAGAGTCAGGAAGACCGGGAGCGGCGGGGCGGGGGAGGGGCGCAGGTGGATGGCACGGTCGAGCCCTCATTTTGGCGTTTCCTGGTCCACACAGCAAATAACCCGGATTTTTCGCCAACAACAACAACGATAGCACCCTACCAGGGACCAGAGCGACGAGGATGATGACTGGGCAGCCATGCCCACCACCCGTGTACCTAGGCGGAACGCAAGCGCATCTACCGAGAAGGAGCCAGGTGTCAGGGAACTGCCAGCGCATACCAGGCTGCGAGGGCCATGGTTTGGTGCTACTGGCATAGCACACACGCTTACAGACCTTTCGACCTAGGAGGGCGACACGTGGTCCTGGGCCGTCACCCGTCAAGGTTAGGTAACCAACCAGTTTCCGACTGAGTCGAGAGGCACTATCCATAGAGTACACACACTCTCCTCACATAGATGAGTGTGTCACAGATCGCTGGAGAAGGAGCCGCTTCAGCTGGATGGACTGCGTGGACTGAGTTCCGGCGTCAGTCGGCTCCCTTCCGAGCCACGGCGCTCAACGCACCGTAGCAGTCGCAGACTCCGATCACACATGCAGTACGGCGGTTAAGATGCGATACGCGGCGCAGCTGGCGCGTGGCATGGGTCAGTATGGCCCCCGTATGGTCTAGCACCACAGGTGTACAGTAGGTGGGCTAACTCATGAAATGTCAACCGAAATTCGTTTTCGTTTCGAAAATATTAATTAGGGTTTCAAAACTAAGCAGTTTGCAGTATAATTAAATAATAATTCAGTTACCACAGGATATCGGCTTTCGAACGAAGTTCCTTCCGGCCGCATGCGAAAACTATACTCCGTAAACAATGACTACTTATGTTGCATGCATTTTTCTCACTGATTTTCGATGACCCTAAATGTCCAATTATATTTCATGGTAAACAAGCATAGGAATATTCATTCTTTTACTCATTCGGTAGAAAATTAAGTCTTCTTCTAATTTTGTACACGAAGGAAGGGTATAATTCGGTTTTCAAAAAACTGACAAATTCCCGAATAATTTTTAACCCGCTCTGGCGTCACACTTGCATTCAGGGTTTCTAAACTACAAGCCATGTATTTTCCGCGTACGGAAAATCACACATTTCTTTACGGCATTAAAAGGAGACCATGCGGAGTTTATAGAATTTGGCAGTGGATTTGATCCATATTGCTAACTTTATAAGTCACATTGGTAAATGCAGAGACATAACGTTTTATGAACGGCCATTTCACGGTATCGGAATGTCTCACAATCAGAAACTTTTTTAAAACCGAATTATGTCCCTCCTTCGTGGATAAGATTGAAAGAAGACGTAATTATCTACCGAATGAGCGAAAGAATGAATATTTTTGTGCATCTTTTCCATGAAATATAATTGGTCTTTTAGGGGCATAGGAAATCAATGAGAAAAATGCATGCTACTTAAGTAGTCATTTTTTATGGAGTGAAGTTTTTGCGTGCAGCCGGAAGGAAGTCCTTTCGAAAGCCGGCATCCTGAGATTACTGAATTCTTATAGGATTATACTGCAATCTGATTACTTTTAGAAACCCACTTAATTAATTTTTTCGAAACGAAAAGGCATTTCGGAATGTCGGTTGACATTTCATGAGTTAGCCAACCTACTGTACCTCCCGTCTGGATCGCCACCGCCACCATCACGGCACCGCCGTTTTCTCAGTTACAAAAGTAAGCCAACGCATCGTTTGTAAATCAGAAGTGTGTTTGACGGTCGGTAGCCCCGCGGCATGAATATATATTTTCACTTTGAGCCGTTTGTCTTCACCTCTAGTCAATATTTCGTCAAAATACCTGTTTACTGGAACTGCCGGTAAGATGTGGTTTGGTAGCTCCACCTAATGGACGCATTACTGTTTGGGTTGTGGTTAACGGTCAGGATTAGGGATTATAGTTGGGGGTTAGCGCAACTATTTCTCAATCACCCAAAGTACAACCGCGCATTCCCAATAGCTTTTCTTTTGCATACAACTACTTGACCTCGTTGCCT